TCCCCAATCTTCTCAAAAACTCTGGATTCTGATAGAGGGCCATGCGACTTAGACCTGAGTGCAAAAATTGAGGCTCTAGACCCTTCCAGAGCTGAGATATCGAAACTCAAAATTTCGACCAGAAAAAAAAAAACGACAGTGGTACCCCTTACGTTTTTTTGGGGGGGGGGGGGCGAAAAAATAAGTATCCCCAATCTTCTCAAAACTCTGGATTCTGATAGAGGGCCATGAGACTTAGACCTGAGTGCAAAAATGGAGGCTCTAGACCCTTCCAGAGCTGAGATATCGAAACTCAAAATTTCGACGAGAAAAAAAAACCGACAGTGGTACCCCTTTCGTTTTTTTTTTTTTTTGGGCGAAAAATTAAGTATCCCCAATCTTCTCAAAACTCTGGATTCTGATAGAGGGCCATGCGACTTAGATCTGAGTGCAAAAATGGAGGCTCTAGACCCTTCCAGAGCTGAGATATCGAAACTCAAAATTTCGACCAGAAAAAAAAAACGACAGTGGTACCCCTTATTTTTTTTTTTTGGGGGGGGCGAAAAAATAAGTATCCCCAATCTTCTCAAACCTCTGGATTCTGATAGAGGGCCATGAGACTTAGACCTGAGTGCAAAAATGGAGGCTCTAGACCCTTCCAGAGCTGAGATATCGAAACTCAAAATTTCGACGAGAAAAAAAAACGACAGTGGTACCCCTTTCGTTTTTTTTTTTTGGGGCGAAAAATGAAGTATCCCCAATCTTCTCAAAAACTCTGGATTCTGATAGAGGGCCATGAGACTTAGACCTGAGTGCAACAATGGAGGCTCTAGACCCTTCCAGAGCTGAGATATCGAAACTCAAAATTTCGACCAGAAAAAAAAACGACAGTGGTACCCCTTACGTTTTTTTTGGGGGGGCGAAAAAATAAGTATCCCCAATCTTCTCAAAACTCTGGATTCTGATAGAGGGCCATGAGACTTAGACCTGAGTGCAAAAATGGAGGCTCTAGACCCTTCCAGAGCTGAGATATCGAAACTCAAAATTTCGACGAGAAAAAAACCCCGACAGTGGTACCCCTTTCGTTTTTTTTTTTTTTGGGCGAAAAATTAAGTATCCCCAATCTTCTCAAAACTCTGGATTCTGATAGAGGGCCATGCGACTTAGACCTGAGTGCAAAAATTGAGGCTCTAGACCCTTCCAGAGCTGAGATATCGAAACTCAAAATTTCGACCAGAAAAAAAAAGACAGTGGTACCCCTTACGTTTTTTTTTTGGG